ACGGAGGGAAATTAATGTAAGGCGTTCAGAGTGTGTGTGTACAGTGGACAGCAGCGGCTCTGCAAAGAAAGATGTATTGTCTGTGGTTAGTCTTTGTGCTGGCTGGAGAAATGCCTTTTGGAAATCATGTGGAGAAAAAACCAACCCTCGCTTCGTGACTCTGCAGCTCCCTGCGGCTGCTCACTTCAAACATTCAGCATCTTTACGCACACAAATCTACAGTAAAAGCGGTTTTCCCGCCGCATATATATCAGTAAAATCGCCACTAACCTTGGTCGGGTCGCCTCCTGTTATCCACTTGTTACAATGGAAATTTAACACCATGGATCCTCCGGTTAAGTTTCCTGGCAGTCGGACAAAAACGCAGCGAGCGAGTCGAACCGGGCCGAAAACTGGAGCACGCTGCTGTGGATAAAACCCCCGTGGCGATGACAGGTGTGTGCGTGTGTTATCAGGCTGCCTGTTTTTCTCCAGGTACCGTCTGCAAACAACGAGAGAAGGTTGTGTCTTCAAACAGCTGTTTTCCAAAATGGAGTTATCCGTGTCTGAGCCAATCAGAGCGAGCCTGTGGAGGCTCCCACTCCTCTGTGGGCTGGAGCCAACACCACACTGCACTCTGAAGATCAAACACTTACACATTATGCATCTTTTTTTTTATTTCTATTAAGGGACGTTTCACTATAGCTTTCATGTCACGGCAGCTTTATTTAGATGCACATCAAACCAGCACACACCCCACTGATGAGATGTCCATGCAGGGAGGGGAACCCCCAGATGTTTCTCATGTTGGTTTCAGCTGTGACAGATGAGCTATTCTGCCTCACTTTAATAAAAGCACTCATACCACACAGTAGAAGAAATACTCTATCACTAAATATAATAATAATAATAATAATAATAATAATAATAATGGGGTGGAGGGAAAAAAATCGATACAGCATAGTATCGCGATATTTTGCGTGGTGAAAATTGTATTCAAGTATCGATTTTTTACATCATTCAATTATGCAAATACACATTTAAATACAACTTCTGATACTCAAAAAATCAGCTGCTTTTTCGGTCCACTAGATGGTGCTGATTCGGGGGCATTTGGCAGGAAGTTCGTCAAAACAAAGAAATCCGAAACGAGCTGTTGGTGTTCAAATCAAACGACTCTACTTATTTGGGATTTTTTCAACGTGGAAGGAAAGACGGACATGGATATGACACATGAAAGACCGGGAATACCAAGAACACCAGGGCTCACCTCACACTCCACGATCCAAAGATAGCGTTAGCCGCTGACGGCCAAGGTGACGCTAAAACCACCCTGCCGGAAAAAAAACACACTGGACACACTTAGCACGACAAAAACTTGAAAATAACACAGTCCCTCACCTACTTCATGAGCAAAGATCTGCATCCATGAAGCACTGTTGAAAACAAAAGCTTTTGTTACAAGCTAAAAACACTCTATCGGTATGTGACTCCGTCCCGCAGTTTTTATACCGACATTGCCGTGCCCAGTCTCTATGGAGAAATGAAACATAAAGCTGAGTGATCTTATGAAGTAAAATTGATATCGACAGTTTTCCTTGGGGGAAATAATTTGCAGTTGGGAAAACAGGTAATAAATTGCAAAATATAAACAGTAATTTAAGTGTGTAAAGAGCCAGCCGATTTACACATCTGACCGGGTAAGTTAAGGGTTTATTCTGGTGATTGTTGGAACGTTGGAAAGACAAATCAAGATTGTTTGTGTGAGTTATTTTGTTTATGTCAACTTTGAATGAAGTGTGTTTTACAATGATAAATTACAGTTTATTGGTGATAGTATTTCTCAGCTGTTTCTGGTTAAATAAAGAGGATCTTACTCTTTAACAAAAAGGTCTGTCTCTGTAGGGATCCTTTCCACAGTGTTGTCAATTCAAAGAATATTAATCTGAGCCTGTCAGTGACAAAAACAAGCACTTTTAGTGGACCTAAATTAATTGTGCACAGATGCCCCGAGTAATTACGTTGCAACCTGTTTTGCTGCTGTCGGCTGCAGCCCTCTCCTTTAATACCGGGCCGTTTAAAACACGTGTTATTCCCATGAGTCACTTTGACAAAAAAACATGGAAAAATAGGGTCCAGGTTGAAAAAAAAAAAACACTGAAATTACCCTTTCAGTAAATGTAGGTTATGTAAGTAGGCTATAATCAGGGAAACTTCAGAGTAACAATTCTCAATCAAAAATGTCCCCTGTGACTGTGACTATTATATTATTAGATTTTTACTCATGCATTAATGTGAAAGTAGGGTTTCACTGTTGTATTTGGTCGAGGTGGAGCTCACTTTGAACTTTTGTAGAAATCCACTAATGACTATTTTCATTATGGGTTAAACTGCTGATTGTTTTCTCTATGAATCAACTGAATGTTTGATTTCTAAAAAATAGTGAAAGTAGTGAGAAATGTCACATGGTAGTCTGTAGAATTTATTGCAAGGCCGTTGTATTAGACTGCATTAGTTTTGTCGTTGTACCCAATAGACTAGAGTGTGTATCATGATGTAGCACTCTGAAAACACCAAATCTACATGAGTATTTATACTTTTACATTTAGTGATCAAGACTTCTGTAAGGCTAACTTCTAAATTTTTCAGCCTGGACCCTGTTCTCCCATGTTTTTGTGTCTAAATGACTAATGGGAACGACAGATTCTGAAATTGGTCCGGTATTTAGTAAGACTGCTGCAGCAGGTAGCGACAAAACAATTTACATACACTTATAGTGTTTGTTGTTGCCAATGAGAGGCTCAGACTATTTTTCAAAGTGTGGAATATAGTGGAAAGGATCCCTACAAAGATAGACCTTTTTGTTTAACCAGAAACAGGTGAGAAATCACAATTAACAAACCCACCAGACTCCATTTAAATAAACAGTTATTTTATCATTGTAAAACATGCTTCATTCAAAGACGACAGAAACAAAATAAAACTCACAAAAGCCATCTTAGTTTGTCTTATTAGTGTTCCAGCAATCACCAGCTCTGATTTGGTTGATTAAACTCTTAATTCAACCAGTTAGATGTGAAAATATTCAGGTTCTATATACACTAAAATTACTGTTTATTTAAATGGAGTCTGGTAGATTTGGTGATAGCAATTTTGGGGCTGTTTCTGGTTAAATAAAGAGGATCTCACTCTGTAACAAAAGAGTCTCTCTCTGTAAGGATCCTTTTCATAAGTTGTCAGACACTTCATATAACAATCTGCGACTGTCAGTGGCAAAACAAGCACTTAGTACATGTAAATTGAAGGTGCTCAATTGCCTGCATGGATTACATTGCAATTAGTTATTTAAAAACACAGGAAAATAAGGTCCAGGTTGGAAAGTATCAAGGTTACCCTTTAAGTACATTTTTGAATGCAAGACTTTTGCTTGTAATGGAGTATTTTTAATCCGTCAAATTACAACTTAAACACCAGTAAAAGGTCTGAGTTCTTTTTCCACCACTGTATTTATGAGCTCTTTGGGGAGCCACAAACCCAGTTTGGCAAACGCTGCTCAAGTCAGTCACAGTGTATTGTAATTATGTTGTGAAAATACCCACAACCTCCCCAGTGCCTGCAGCACACCTCCACCACTCTGCCAACAACAACATCCACAACACAAACAAGACACAAATAGCACTTTCTCCGTTTGGAGTTTTACTTTACTGTCTTTACTACCAACAATAAATATCCTGCAATACAATATAGCTTATACCCACAGACATGCTTAAAATAAAAATATAAAAGATTGATGCAAACTATTCAAGTTAGCTTCGGGCTACTGCAAGATATCAGATCTAACATTATTATTGCACATTTCTGCACATGGCCTGGAGTGAAATTTGGCAAACGAGATGTCTGTAAAGTCAGGACTGAATGTTCTGTTCCTCATGTGACTCCTGTGATCAGTGACGGGCCTGCGTTAAGACTGAGTGATGAAAGCAACCAGGTCATAAAAGGTTAAAAAAGACAACATAAGGCAGATTATCTGAGGTTAGAAAAAATAATCCTCTCAGTAGATTCAAGTCACAGAAAACTGAAGCATCAACTAAACAAAGGCCCTGAAACAGTGTGAGAGTTTGATACTGAGCAAAAAATGTAACTGATAAATCTACTGTATTATTCTTTTCCTCAGCTGCAGCAGCCATCCATTCCTACTCCCTAACAATGAAGTATATCAACTCTTATGTAAGACGAGCCCTGATGAGAGTACACATGAATATTGCTTTGGTACACACAAATCCAACGTAATTTATGAAAGGAAATCTGCAGTTTAAGGCAATGTATTAGACGGTTACATACACAAAAACTGTCTCCATTTTTTGGAGGGGCAATGTAACCACGTACAGAGCGCTAATGGCCAGTATGTGACTGACTGCCAGTATGCAGGTCCTAACAAACTGTTTTTAGTATTTTGCCTCAGTGGAAAAATATTGAAGGATGGGTTCATGTTTTTCCATGTCTGTCTTAAAGAGACAGTTAACCCCTAAATAAAAAACACATATTTTTCCTTTTGCCTGTCGTGCTTTTCATCAAACTAGATTGTTCTGGTGTGAGTTGCAGAGAGTTGGAGATGTCAGCTGTAGAGATGTCTGAATTCTCTCCAGTATAATGGAACTGGATGTCACTCAGCTTGTGGTGCTCAAAGTACCAAGACCTTGTTGTGAGCAGTTTCGCGGCTCGTGTCGTGACAGCGCAAGAAACAAACATTAATGGCGTCCTCCTCAGCTGAGCTGCAAAGTTAGCTAGCTCTGTGGTGCTAGGTGAGCTAGCAGTAGATGCACGCCTCCTTCTGCGCAGTGATACAGTCGGCACTTGTAGTTCAGTGAAATAGTTCCTACACAAAACTGCTTAAGAAACTGGGTCATGATTTCTGGAAAGAGACATTGCTGTTGAGATTTTCAGATGTATTTTTTCTTTCGTGCCATCTAGGTCCATTATACTGGAGAGAAGGCAGATATTTCTACGGCTGATATCTCCAACATTCAGCAACTCACACTAAAACAATCTAGACTGATATACAGTGCTACTGGTAAGAGGAAAAATGTGTATTTTTGATTTTGGGGTGAACTATCCATTTAAAGCAGTACAAACATGCCCATATGTGCATTGAGACTGTTTTTGCTAGCTGTAATCACTCCTCCTGTTCATAGTGTCTGTTAAGAGATCCACGTCCCACAGTCTTAATATGAGGCCTCAGTAGATTCAGTTGGCCAGATGAGGCCGGTAAATTCAAAAGTTTTAGTGTTTTTAGAAGGAAGTTCCCCTTTTTGTTTCCCCTCTGTGGTAGAGAGTAAGTAACACGAGGGAATTTTGTGCTAAACCATCCACTTGATCTGTCGAACCAGTTCTGCTGATGTCTCATTTTAGCTTCTGCTAAATACAAAACGAAGACTGTGGCTTTTGTCCGCACATCTCTTGCACTGAAAGCACATTAATATGTTTTTTTTAAATGGCCAGTGTGGACAGGAAGAATGATTACATCAAGCAAAACATGCTTCAATGTACATATGGGCGTCTGACTATTTAAAAAACTCTGAATTTATCCTTCAAATACCAGAAATAACTGAATAGAGGGGCCACCGACGATGATGGCCAAACATGCACTGGCTCATGTCAAAAGCCTACAGCTGCCTTGGAACCATGAGTGAATGCTGGGCTACGTGTAAACTACATTAAACTATCCACCTATAGCAGTGCTGCTTAGTTAGTAAAATAAATCATGTATAATATTGGCAACTTGCCCTGTAAAAGTCTACACACTTGTTTCAAATGAAACAGAAGATGTCCTCTCAGTGGTGGGAGTGAGTGCATCTACAGTCTGCGTCAGTAACAGTAGTAGAGTTGAGAGCGCAGCCCCCTAAAGGTGTCGTCATCCTGCCCGCTGGCCTGCGCTCCTTCAAACAGCATGGAGTCTGGGAGCACCACGCCCTCTAGTGGATCCGGCTGGCAGAACTCCACTATAAATTCCTCCTCACAGTCCAGAAGCACTCTCGACCACGCACATAAGTCCAGCTGGCCCGCAGTGCCGCCATACTCCTCCGGCAGAACCGACCGTGGGATGTTCCGGTGCAGAGAGCGCAAGTCTGAGCCGTGGAGGATGTACTGGATGAGGAGACAGACACAGCGTCAGTGATGTCATCTTTCTCACCATCAGTTTCATTAATTAAAGTGGCTACGATCAATATTTCATGTCATGTGAAAGGTGTCACTCATATTAATGAACCCACAAAGAATTATCACCGGACTCTGCGGTGAGAGATTTATAGCATCTGTCAGCTCACTGCGGCCCACAACTTTTCTGTTTTGGTTCACTGTCTGTCACCACTCTGATGACTACAGCCACAGCAGGAAACTGTTTTCAGTAGAAAAGCTCTAAAAGCCAACTGTACAGCAGCCAGACACGGTTGGTGACTAGCTGGTGAAACATAGTGATGGGTTTAGCAGCTATAAAGCCAGATATTTCCCTCAGGGGTTGGTGCAACACAAACCAGAGCTAGACTGACTAATGGAGTTACATTTGCCAGGTGGCCAGAGTCTAAATTATTGCAAATGTTGTTCTGGATCTGCTGATAGTGTAAATCAGTGTATGCTAACAAATTAGCCATGTTAGCTTAAAGGGATAGTTCACCCCAAAATCAAAAATACATAATTTGCCTTTTACCTGTAGACCTATTTATTACTCTAGATTGTTTTGGTGTGAGCTGCCGAGTGTTGGAGATATCGGCTGTAGAGATGTCTGCCATCTCTTCAGTATAACTGAACTAAATGACATTTGGCTTGTGGAGCTCAAAGTGCCCAAAAATACATTTGAAAAACAGCAATGTCTCTTTCCAGAAATCATAACCTGATTACTGAAGATAATCCACAGACATTGTTGTGAGCAGTTTCATGTCGGAACTCTTTTCTTCCTACCAAACTATACACACCTACTGTATCACTGCGCAGAGGGAAGAATACATTAACTGTTAGCTCGCCTAGCTAATGTTATAGCTAGGGATGTCAACTTTAACCGTTAATTCTTTAACCACTGAGAGTTTTTTTTTTGCCCCAGCGAATAAGCAGCTCAGTTTTCAGCCGCAAACCCCTTTAGCATTATCTATATTATGACTGTTAGCATCATGAGCAGAGTCAGCACGGCTAGTGGTGCTAACACAGCTAACAATGCCAAAGGGGTTTTGAGGCTCAAAATGAAGCCACTTACTCACCAGGGCTATACGGGGGAAAACGGAGGAAGGCTACCATATTTCTGCAACAACGGCAAGTGCAGAATGAACGACCGCTGTTTGCTCCGACCTCACCTGGGTGGTGCACAGTGCAGAGCAGCCAAGGCTAATGTTAGCTAACCAGTGGAGCCCGGAGGGTGGGCAGTGGGCACTTTGTTTGTGCCCGTTAAGGCAGTTAGTCAGCTGTGTGTCAGCAAAGCCAACAGGAAATAAAATAAATGAAAGACATTTATGCAAAACATCATAATTTCACCACCTCTAAATGGATAGCACTTTGAAATGCGGTGCTAAAGCTCATTGAGTCAGTGAAGTACTGGACTAAAAGAAAAAGCACATCATTTAGCTTTTTTTTTTGTTCTTAAAAATTACCAAGTGAGTCACCAGTTAATGAGTGTCAGGCTATGTTTATATCTTACGCTATCATGAGCAAAAGCCTCTTGTTCATGAGTAGATGCATGCTTCCTTCTACACAGCGATATGGTCGGCAGGTGTAGTTTGGTACAAAGAAAATAGTTCCACCTTGAACTGCTCACAACAAGGTCTGTGGATTATCTTGAGTAACCAGGTCGTGATTTCTGGAAAGAGACATTGCTGTTGAGTTTTTCAAATGTATTTTCTTGGCACTTTGAGCACCACAAGCTGATTGCCATCTAGTTCTATTATATTGGAGAGAAGGCAGACATCTCTACGGCCGATATCTCCAACAATTGGCAAGTCACATCAAAAAAATCTAGACTGATAAATAGCACTACAGGTAAGAGGAAAAGTATGTATTTTTGATTTTGGGGTGAACTGCCCCTTTAAGTTAGCATTACAGTGTTGCCACTGCCACCAAATTAATAAAAAAAACAGCAGGTTTAAACGAACACAAGGAGGCACCTCTCAAGAGATTCTGGAAAACACAGGGTTGTGTAGCTGTTAGTCTGAGTTCATTCCTCTGAAGAGAAAACGCTTGGCCTTTCATTTTTCACAGATGAAAACAGACCATTATTTTGGAGCACAGGCTGCAGATAAAAGGGAGGCTCGTGATTCAAAATAGCCCTTTGTTTGAAACAAAAGAGTCAGAGACAATTCAAGGACAATAGTTACCCTCTCTGCCATCTTCTCCTTCAGAAAAGGCTTAATTATAGCGAAGATGCCTTTGAAAATCCTGGGCTCGTTTATTATGTTAACGGCCTTGATTCTGATTGGGAAACCGTCCTGTGAATCACAGAAAAAAAAAAAAAACACAGAGAACACTGCATTCAGAACAGTCGCAGATGGTCCTTGTCAAACATTTCAGATGTGCTTTGTGTGCTTGTGTAAATATTACACTCTGCAGTCACGACAAAACTCAACAGCCAGCGCTGAAGAGCCACTGCTGTAAATGACAAGGTGTGTTAACACAGCTTCTCATATTCACTGCTGTCATCACAATAAAATGAGTAAATACTGCATTAATATGTCTTTGCTGCTTTCACTTTAAAATATATTTAATTTAACTATAAACGTGTCATCAGATCACCAGATGTTAGATGTTTGATTTCTCACCTGGAGGATGCTCACAACTTTTTTGGCGAGGAATGGGCCTGGATTGGACGCCTGTGACATGCCCACTCCGGTGTAGTCGGCTAAGATGACGATACCGTTCACCTGCGTTTCCTCCGGCTGGATCAGCTTCTCCAGAGTCAGATAAATGGCCCTCACATTGTCAACAAATGGATAATCATTCGGTTTCCATTTTCCTGTAAAAGGACACTGTGCTGAGTAATCGTACAACGTGAGTAAAGCCCGTCCTGGAAGAATTAGTCACACAGTAGAGATTTTAGAGAGTAGACTGAGCTTGATGTCAACAGGAGAGGTAAACAGAAAACAGTCATTATAAAGCTGCTGAATTCTCCTTGTAAAGGTGGAGCAGACACCAACCTGGCCGCAGACAGAGGATGTATCTCCCGTTGGGGTCCGGCTGTGGCAGGACTGTGAGGAAACCCAAGTCCAGGACGTGTTTCACTGTGGATGGCTTCAGGTCCTGGAACACTTCCGGCCAAGCCTTTCGGCCTGCGTGGTAGTTGAGCAGCAGCTGCAGGGCACGGTCATAGTCGAACTTCCTGGCCCGCAGGAAACGCAGGAGAAAAGCGTCATCCAGCCTAGTCCTGAGATTGGGCTGCTCCTGCAGAGTCGGGTGAAATGCACATGAGCTCAGCAGAGAAAGAGTTGGAAAACATGGAGAAAACAGGCATGACGAAAGCAAAGGAAAATAATAGCAATTTTATTAAGATGAGTCTGTTGATATTTGATATTTGTCCTCCTAACATGTACTCTGTGTGTATCTAGAGCTTGATATATCACATTCCTCTGTGCCACAGACCTCCAGTGAGCCACACTGTTGCACTGGGTGATGAATACGAGCTCTACATTTGTTTTGAATCAATCCCAAAAACATTGTCCTGCTGCTGCAAATATTAACTAGAGCATCAAGTCTGTGGTTGAAAATTGTCCTCAACAAAGGCAATATTTACTCCAGTTAAAGTCACGTTTGGTAAAAACATAACTGCCCGGCTGTTTTACAAAATTATTTAGCCTTTAAAAAAAAGACTTTTTAAAGAAAAAAAAAATTCATCTTTTTTGTGTGATTTGTAAGCAATAACAAAAATACAGAATATTATCAGCTTTACCTTTGAAAAGTTCAGATAAGATCCATCTCTTCTAACACTCTCAGATCACTTTATACACCTTGTTAGTCACCCCAGACCCCCTTTTGCTTTAACAACTACCTTCATTCTTCAAGACACCGATTCAACATGGTGCTGGGAACATTCCTCAGTCATGATAGCATCTCACAGTTGCTACAGCTTTGTCGTCTGCACATACATGATTCCAATCTCTCGTTCCACCACAGCCCAAAGATGCTCTTTTAGCACCTTCCTAAGTCCTGACACTTTCTACTAACAGTTGAACAAGTATCCTCCGTCAACATTTCCCTTTCTAAGTATACTTAGATATGCTATTTGCCAGGCTCCTTAGACTGAAAAGAAAACCAAATATTTTGAACACAACCTGTGATTGTTAAACGTTTATCGTATGCTAGTAATCAAAATAATTTTCATGGTGATATTTTCTTTTATTTTGTAGATGTATTGACCGTTTCACTGGCATTACATTGCTCGGCAGATCTTTACTTCCTGATGTCATTCACATACCTCAGCAAAACAATCAAACAAGGAAACTATAAAAGAAGGAAAGGACATGACATCAGTGACAGCATTCAAATTTTGCAGTGGAGCCAGAGTGTGGTGCCGACCCACGATGACAGACAGAGCTATGATCTGCCTGGAGACCGTAACAATGAAAATGAACACGCACATTTAGACACAAAACATCAGTTAGCATCACATAATGTGTGCTTTTTAATCTAGTGGAAGCATTTTTCAGTAAACCAGCACAGATATGACAGGTTATAATGAGACTTGCTGTGCCTGCCCAACTGCCTTCAGTAGAAGTGGTTTCAAAGTCTGGCTCCAACGCTAAATTTGAACGCTGTCACTGACGTCATGTCCTGTCCTTGTTTTATAGTTTCCTTGCATTCAAACAGGAAATACAAAAGGACCCATGTGGAATGTTTATGTTGCCACATTTGACGAGACAAACAGCAAATATGTGATCAAAGAGGTTAACAAGTTTGAGAATTTTAGTAAGCATTTAGTGCCAACAGTTTTGGGGGTTACAGGAACAAAGTCTTCTAACTTCAGGGATGTTTGTTACTAAACTGCCCTATGTTGCTTTAAATATAGCCTAACTGGCACATTATAAACAGGAACGGGACTGCTTATGTTCTTATGAATACCTTCAGTATCATGTCTCTCAGTGCTTGGACATCCCGCAGGCGCCACTCTGGCTTCTCCTGGAGCTCCTCCCGTGCCTTGTGCACCAGCTCAGGGGTCAGGGTGCAGGAATACATGGGTGGAGGGGGCCCAGGGAACCAGCTGTGTCCTGCAGCTGCTGACGGGTCCACTGAAGGAGAGGTGAGATCGATGGACTCATGCTGATCGGCCATGGACTGGCTGGGTGAAGCTGTTCGGACATAAAGAGACAAGAGGGACCAGAGAGGTTATGAAAAGAAGTAGAAGATGAAGATATACTTTATTAATCCCTGAGGCGCAATTCATTTTTTTCACTCTGTGGTCATATACACAGGCCTGAAATACACACACATGCACAAACAGGACCTATACATGCATTAAATGGAGAGATGTCTGGGCGATGGGGCTGCCTGGACTGCAGTGCTTGGGAGCTGAACTGGTCCAGACTCCATACTCAGTCCATACAGGGACGTAACCCTCTGGTTCCCAAGTCCCTATGGACTGAGCTACTGCTGCCGCTGGTGTTAAAAGGACTGAGTTCTGGGCTGTCACATTAGCCTCTGGCCACTGTCTCACACACACTCAATGGTGGAGGGTAACTAAGTACAGTACCTAAGTAGAGGTACTTGTACTTTATTTGAGTATTTACATTTTATGCAACTTCTACTCCTCTACATCTAATCATCAGATGCAAATATGGTACTTTTACTCCACCGCATTAGCTGACGATACTCTGCTGTACTTATCATTCTCTTCAGACTGAACTGAAAAACTAAAATTAATATGTGGATGTCGCAAAATTTCTTACAACTCAATAGGGACAAAACCAAGGTTCTAATCATTGGATCAAAGGAAAATCAATTTCAATTTAATAGTAATTTACAAAAGTTGGCTGTGAACAAAAAGCATGAAGTAAAGAACCTTGGTGTCATCTTTGATTGTGACCTGTGTTTTGAACCCCGAGTGAGAATATGATATCAAAAATACATTTCTTCATCTTAGAAACATTGTGCAACTGTGTGCGACCTCTTTTATCTAAAGATGACACCTGAAATCTTGATCATGCTTTTACCTCCAGCGGACTTGACTACTGTAACGCCTTGCTCTCAGGCCTCTCGAAGAGGTCTTTAAACTAACTGCAGATGATCCAAAATGCAGCAGCACGTCTACTCACCAAGACTAAACATCGAGAACACATTGCTCTGGTTTTAAAGGCTCCTCATTGGCTTACCGTTCATTTTAGAATTCATTTTAAAAATTTGCTTTTAGTTTTTAAATCTCTAAAGAGACTGGCTCCTGACTACTTATCAGATATGTTGGTCAAATACATTCCCTCCAGAACCTTAAGATCCTCCACCTCAGGTCTACTGAATGTCCCCCACAGTAGAACTAAAAAGTACAGTGAAGCTGCGTTCAGTGTCTCTGTCCCTCAACTCTGGAACAGCCTTCCAGAGGACGTCTGACTCTCTGATTCAGTTGACAGCTTCAAACGCAATTTTAAAGCCTGTCTTTGTAGACTCCTACTTCGTATTTCAATGTATGAGTGAGTGTGTGATCGAATTTTATTTATCTTATCCTGTCTTTTATGTGCATTTTCTCATTTTTTAATGTACAGCACTTTGAGTTGCACTTGCTGTATGAATTGTGCTATACACATAAATTATGTTATTATTATTTGTCTGGCAGCTTTCGTTCCTTTTCTTATTAAAGTGATTACAGCATATCCAGTTTCTGTGATTCTGATTTTGAATGTTTGTGAAAAGTGTTCCTTTATGTGTTGAGAAAATTCTCCTACTTCTTAAGCTAAATAAACTATTTAAAAACCCTCTTGGATCAGCTGGAAAATGCACCATCACAAAGCTGTAAACGGGGCTGCGGACAGTGACCCTACAAATACAAGATGATCTAATAGCATATGATGCATTACTGGAAATTAAACTACCCAACAGGATATGAAGGAGTCAAAATAAGCACAACCTTAAACATCTACCAGACAGTAATATTAACACAAAAAACATCATGTAAGATAGTAAAACACAGACAGGGACATTTTGCTTCATGAGTACTTTTACATTAAGTAGTCCACATTTTGCTGATACTACATAATTTTTATCAAGTGAGGCTTTGAATGCAGGGATTTTACTTGTAGTGGAGTGCTTTCACAGTGTGGTATTAATACTTTTACTTGACTAAAGGATCTGAATACTTCTTCCACCACTGTACATACACATACATCTATTAATACCATTTTAACTGAACTGAACAAAATGTACTGTAACTAAAAAGCGTTCCCGGATACATCAGCAGAGTAAGGAAGTTCTCTGTAACAGCACAGACATGCTAACTGTATGTATTTATTTAGCTTTGAGTCACAGTCTCAGCACGGACGAGCTAATATAACGTGAACCTGAGCAGAACTGATGCGACACAATTAAAGTCAGAATAATGTCTGAATACCAACCCGGAGATGCGTTGAACATTAACCGACTAGGACACACATACACGCCTTTTATGAGCGTCCATTGACAGGTGATAAAAATGTCCTCAGAAGCACAGCGACGGACAGAAGTGTCAAAGAAATCACAACGGACCTGTCAGGAAAATCCTATTTCCGGGTTGGAGAGATGGCGCTCCCTTATTGGTCCGTTTGCAAGCACGTGACGCGCTGTTGACGCACCAGAGCGGTGGAGCTTTGCTTCTGTTGTTTTGACGGCAGTGCTGCATTCAAGTGTCCCTCGGAAACTAGCAAATCACACTTGGAAAAGTTTGTTTCGTGGGTGTTTTCGTTTAATATTGTCAAAACTTTCACTTTGCCTGACTGATTCCATTTAAGGTACTGTATACCTCTACTCTAACTCGGGTTCGGAGGCAAATCTTGTACTTTTTACTACACTGTTACAACACTATGTACTAGTTTGACTACTTTGCAGATTCAGATCAGCCTACTAATGAAAAATATACTAAACAAATAAATCGTGTTATCATAGATGGAGGTACGAATTTATTGATCCATTGGTGAAATTCACAAGCAACACAGTAGCATAGCAGCCTATTTATATGAAGAAATAATCTCCATATTGCATCAATAATTATATCTCAACATTATAAGAAACAATATTCTAATCTATATAATGAGTACCTTTACTTTTTGTTCTGTCAGTAGGCTATATGTTGAAGCTATTAAGTCATTTTGTACTTTTACCTAAGTAAGCATCTGAATTTGTGTCTAACATATAACAGAGTGATCTATTTCTACTCGGTGGTATTGTTACTTTTACTTGAGCAAAATATCAGAGTACTTTTCACACCACTTGTTCAAACAAACACTGCAGTCTACAAAGGCTTTTCGCACGTCTTCAGTGCACCTGAATCTCGCATCCTGCAAACTAACATAGCTTTTGTTACGCACCATTGAGCACTACTTAAAAGTTATTAATTTAAAGCTTGAGGCTTATCTTATCGACAGCGCAGGATCGGAGTAAAATAAAAATAGAGCTGAATTTATGTATTTATTATTATAGTGGACAACAGCAGTTCGTGCATACTGGAGTTACATTTGCACAGTTTAGCTCTATTTTTTTTTTTTTAACTTTTTAGTATATTTCTACTTCGTTCATGCTGATGTAAACTAGGCTATGTGAAGGTTACAAGAGGGATGATGTGGCCTAAATGTATTTTAATGTTGGCAATCGGGTGTATCAGTTACACTTGAATGCGGTAGATGGCAGAGTTTACCCTCAAACTGGTCAGCCTGCGTCCTTGTCACAGTAGGATACATCTCAAGGTCTGACAGGCATGTTTTTTTCTACTTCAAATTTGAAAATGAATTTTTCAAAATAATGTGTTAATGTGAACACTAATGTGTTCTTATGTATGTTAGTGTTTGGTGTTTTGGTAAGAAAAAAAGTACTTAAATGACCTTGAAGATGACCTTCATGTCTGAAGCTTCCACTTGTTTTCTAAGTGTGTTTATACAGTTGATTTAAATGCAACACATTGGCAGTAGCTATGTTTTTCCAAATTGAATGTGGAAATAAATCCTTGAAGTGTCCACCCCCTCTCCAGCTTGAATCAGTGCTATCTATAATGATTTTATGGCACCTTATCAGTCTGAAGCAACATGTTGCATTATGCTACGTATCAGTGAACAAGCACTGCCACGTTGGACCCTTTTTTCCTCCGGACTTTCCAGCATGTCTGATTTCATTTCTAAGTTGTCAGAGAATGTGTGATCCTATCCATTCCCCAGAAAATCACAGATAATATAAAATATGATCTGCAGAAAACATGATGTAAAAATAGACCTTGAGATTTATTAATTCATCTTCACATTGTAAGGCGAAACAATGCCTGTTTTTTTTTTAAGGCAGTACAGGTTACAAGGCACAATTTATTCCATCAGTTAAACCATGACAAAGTACTAAACAAAAAATATAATATATTTTTTAAAAACCAATACAACATATTATTGGGAAACTTCCTCAGTGTGTCTGCAGGGCACTTTTACAAAGTGGCACCACAGAGTTCACCGTATGCACCAAGATTTCTTGGTGTAGATGTTCAGTTTTACTACTCTAAATAAGTATTTTCCAGTACATAAAACAAACCACACATATTTTAGTCTTGTCACAGAATGTTTAAAAGCTGAACTCATTCAAGTGATTTCCTTTAGCTTTGATAAAACGACAATTTTCTGAGTTCCTGACTGAAAATGTTAAATGAACATAAAATAAAATACTGTGCAACACTAAATACATGACAATGTAAGGTCTGTTGTAACATTCACAAAATACTGACATGATCACGTCGCCATGTCTAACATGAGCCTTACTGCACACACTGAGGCCATGCTACAGGAAGTGATGTTACCCAATAATAAACTACATTATATACAACCATGTACGTCTCTCTACGAGTCGATCTTACAGAACAACAGGATGGTTTGAATGCTCATAGTTTTGTGTGGCTTTCACTGAGCTGTGGAGCTCAACTGCAGCTGCATGTGAACAAATAGATCCCTGAAGAAAAGCAACAATCTGCAAGGGACATAATTGCAATCATATATTTAGTTACTTTATTGTTTCAGTCAAGTTGACAGCTTCAATGCTGATTATATATAAACTTACATATAAAGACCCTGGTTTAACACAATAAAAAAAACTGAAGGAATAAGGACTGAGAGGATTGTTAGATGGCCTCTTGCTTTGTAATAGTAGGCTGAGGGATGGAGGTCGGCTGCTTGGGCACGGTGGCTATGACCCCCTGAGCCAGTTTATAATGTTCTGAGCTGGAGGCAGTAGGCGGGGACGGGATCGGGGTTTCAGGAGTGGCTGAAAAGTAGAACACAGAGTAACAGGAGCGAGTTAGAAACCGCAGCATAAGCAGGTGTATATTTACAATTCTGTGGTATAACATGTCTTGGGGGGGCAACACAATTTTCAGATAAGGAATAAGCACTTTTGTGAAATTTTTCAGAGCATTAAACACGTTAAGAAAGAATAACAGAAGTTCTCTTTGACAAAATAAGCCAGATTAGTTCCCATGAAGAATTTAGAGGATTATTCTGCCAAGCCTGTTTGTCCTTCCAGCTACCTGGCTGGGCTGCACATGGAGCAGGGGAAGGGAGATCTGACAGTCTCTTCTTATCAAAATACAATTGTTTTCAGTTCACATAGATTAATTCTTCTGATCACACTGATCAAACTTGGATGGACAAAAGCATCCAAGTTCTTCTCTTGTATGTGGCAATGAAAATAACCTTAACAAAGACAGAGACTTGGGGCCCGTCCCAATATCCCCCCTTAGCCCTACCCCTTGGCCCTACCCCTACATTTGCGCGTTCCCACGAGGGGCAGGGGTGTCCCAATTACTTTTTGTGTGTAGGGGTAAGGGGCATAACGAGGTGGTAGTGGGTATGAAACTAGCCCTTTGGAGCGAGGGATTTCAGATGCTGACCTGCCAGCGAGGGGTGGATGTTGCCATGGCTACCACCAAGTAAGAGACGGGGAAAAAAGTTTGTACATAGCTAATGTTACCGTCGTAAGGTTGCTTGTTAGCTAGCTAGTTAGCTCGCACTATCTGGCGTCTGTCATCTGCCCTGTTCTGCAAAATTGTTGGATTTTTCACATTACGATAACACGCCAGCTAGTATAACTATGCTGCCTCGTAATGTTAGCTGGTTAGCTAGCTAACCAGCTAACATTGCTGTCATTCATCAAACGAAGCATGATGAATACAGCAAACGCAATTGGTAGGATGAACTCAACTGGAGACTCCATTGTAGATGCCGGTTGGAAATGTAGATGGCTCCCAGCTTCCTGTTTAAAATAGTTATGTATGCATGAACATAACCGACATGGTGATGTAGTCAGTGGTGTCCCAATTCTGAGGGAAAAATTTCAACCCCTACCCCTCGTTGCTTCATTTCGAGGGCCAAGGGGTAGTGGGCAATGGGGGGTATTGGGATTGGGCCTTATTTTTACATGTTGTGCTTCACATTTGTGTTTTGTACTTACAGATTTGACCGTTGTGGATCGGCGTTGGTATGTTGCTGGTCACTATAACATTGCCGCTGAGATGCTCCTGAACCAGGTGAGGGTGCAGAGAGTGAGGTGCGTGTGGAGCCTCGTTGGCAGAACCTGAGAGACACGACACACAAAAATAAACTCAGTCTTGATTTATTATATCATATCTGTCAGCACAAAGAATGCCACAGTCCTCTCTATCGTCTATATTCTAAACACATGTGGTTTCTCTGTATTAATCCAAAGGTTTTAAGATCAGGTGTTGGTTCCAAATGATGTGAAGGAGCTCACCTCCAAGAAGCATTTCTTGTAGCAGGTTGTCGATCTTGGCCATGCCAAAGAGTTTGACAAACTGGATCTGTTCGATCATCTGCCAGGTGATGCTCTGTAGTGTGGGCAGCAGCAGGAGCAGCTCCCCGAAGCGTCCCCGGGAGTCGTACTGCCTGTCGTTGATGTAGTCCTCCAGGCTGACCTGGACCTGGTATCGCATCCGCTTGATCTTTCCGGGGTCACTCAGACCTTTAGCATCTGTGGGCAAATGAAAGCAGGAGGCGTTTACATAGAGAAGTCTCTAAAATACTTCTCACTGATATGTAAAGAAGTTCACACAACCAAAATGATTGGTCAGCAGCAGTACCTGGGTCAAAGAAAACTATGGCTTTCAAGCAGGCGTATTCATTGTCGTCTATCTGAAGCTCCTGGAAAGGAAGCACCAGCTCATCCAGGATTCTCACTGCTACCCTGCCCACCTCCAACTCCGGGCAGTTTCTGGGAATGATGTGGTCATTTCCTGCAGGAGAATCACGGTGCATGATGAGATTTAAGGGAATACTTCACCCACAAAGTGACCATCGGAACAACAATACAGAAAGAAGTCTCACTTGACTCGACAGTGAACGAAGAATCCAAAAAAGATTAACCTTTTTCGTAAATGTAAGTAATGTGGGTCGCATTTAATAATAGCAAAACTATATCAAAACATCAGTTTACAAACTCTCATGCAACTCATGCAGTATAATCCACATCTAATTCTTCCAGTCATATGCTCAGTACTTCCCAAACACATGAATTTTTGC